ACGTCCGCCACACACCAGCAGGGTCGGCTGATTGTACCTGTTGTTGTGGTTGTGGTTGTGGTCGTGGTCGTTGTTCTTGTTGTTGCTGTTGTTGTTGCTGCTGTTGGTGTTGTTATTGTTGTTGTTGTTGCTGCTGCTGTTGTTGTTGTTGTTTTTGCTGTTGCTGCTGTTGCTGCTGCTGTTGTCGTTGTTGTTGCTCCTGCTGTTTTTTTGGTGGTTATTTTGTTTGTTGATGTGCTTGTTTTTGTTGTTGCTGTTGTGGTTGTGGTTATGGCTGCTGCTGTGGTTGTGGTTGTGATTGTGGTTGTGGTTGTAGTTATGGTTGTGGTTATGGTTGTGGTTGTTGTTGCTGCTGTTGTCTTCGTTGTCGTTGTCGTTGTCGTTGTTGTTGTCGCCGTTGTTGTTGTCGTCGTCGTCGTCGTTGTTGTTGTTGTTGTTTTTGCTGTTGCTGCTGTTGCTGCTGCTGTTGTCGTTGTTGTTGCTGCTGCTGTTTTTTTGGTGGTTATTTTGTTTGTTGATGTGCTTGTTTTTGTTGTTGCTGTTGTGGTTGTGGTTATGGCTGCTGCTGTGGTTGTGGTTGTGATTGTGGTTGTGGTTGTAGTTATGGTTGTGGTTATGGTTGTGGTTGTTGTTGCTGCTTTTGTCTTCGTTGTCGTTGTCGTTGTCGTTGTTGTTGTCGCCGTTGTTGTTGTCGTCGTCGTCGTCGTCGTTGTTGTTGTTGTTGTTGTTGTTGTTGTTGTTTTTGCTGTTGCTGCTGTTGCTGCTGCTGTTGTCGTTGTTGTTGCTGCTGCTGTTTTTGTTGGTGTTTTTTTTCGTTGATGTGCTTGTTTTTGCTGTTGCTGTTGTGGTTGTGGTTATGGCTGCTGCTGTGGTTGTGGTTGTGATTGTGGTTGTGGTTGTGGTTATGGTTGTGATTATGGTTGTGGTTGTTGTTGTTGCTGCTGTTGTCTTCGTTGTCGTTGTCGTTGTCGTTGTTGTTGTCGTCGTTGTTGTTGTTGTTGTCGTCGTCGTCGTCGTCGTTGTTGTTATTGTTGTTGTTGTTGTTGTCGTTGTCGTTGTTGTTGTCGTTGTTGTTGTTGTCGTTGTCGTTGTTGTTGTTGTTGATGTTGTTGTTGTTGTTGTTGCTGTTATTGTTGTTGTTGTTGTTGCTGTTGTTGTTGTTGTTGTTGTTGTTGTTGTTGTTGTTGTTGTTGTTGTTGTTCTCGTTGCTGTTGGATAGGGGCTGTGACCGCCTCGGTGGGGCGCGTATCCATGGTTTCTGCCGAGGGATCGTACTCTCGGGGGTGCGGACACACTTGGCACGAGGCATCGTGGCCCAGGTAGCGCGGATACCCGTGGTGATGCCCTGCTTTCGGGCCTTTCCTCTGTTCCCTCCCTCCCGCCTGCCCGCCGTCCGCTTCTTCCCGCCAGCCCTGGCCTCCCGCCTGCGCGTTCGTCGTCGCCTGCCTGCTTCTCCCCCCCCTCTCTCTCTTCCACCTGTATCTCCCACCTCCCTTTCCCTCTCGCCCTCCCCCCTCTCGCGCTCTCACTGGGCAGCGCCCGCTGCCTGGAGCCCGCGGTCCTGTCCTGGCTGCGGCGGGCGCGGCGAGGTCGTGGAGCCGAGCGTGTGCGCACTCGTGGGCCCTGGGACCAGGTTCCACCCGGCTCCGCTGGTCTGTCGCCGCGGGCCCTGCCTGGGGGCCAATGCAGTCGCGGGCTCCCGCAGAAGGCGCTGGTCATGCCAAAGGCTGACGGACCCCCAGACTTCCAGGTGTCGGGAACCGTTTTTGTGTATTGGTCGGTATTTCCGTTCTTTATTCTTTCGGGGCATGGGGACTATTGCTTGGCCCAGGAGTGTCAAAAGCATTGCCAGCGTCGACAGGCTGTCCCAGGGAATGTGTCCATAGCTCTGGGGGGCCACGCCGTGAAGCAGCTACGACGTCGAAGGTCTGGGGGGAGAGAGAGAGAGAGAGAGAGAGAGAGAAGGAGAGAGAGAGAGAGAGAGGGAGAGGGAGAGAGGGAGGGAGAGGGAGAAAGAGAGCATCTGAGCTTCACATTCGCATGCCCCCCCTAGACGAGCGCGAAGATGGGCTACAACGTCAAGGCCCTCTTTCGCCAGGCGCTTGCGTGATCTGCGATTGCGCGGGCTGCCCGTCTCTGCCGTCGCCGCCTCTCTCTCTCTCTCTTTTTTTGTTTTCGTTTCGTTTTTGTTTTGGTTTGTTTGTTTCATTCTCTCTGTCTCTTTTTTTTTTTTTCCTCTCTCTCTCTGTTTCCCTACGTAGGCTCTGCCTAGAAGGGTGCTTACCCTGTATGCTTAAAGGGCCGGGCAGTGCTCCCCGCCCCGGGCGGTTCCCCCAGGATCCGCCCCGCGGTTCCCCCAGTCCCCTGGGAGCTTTAGCTTTAGCTTTAGCTTCAGCATTAGCTTTAGCTTTAGCTTTAGCTTAGCTTTAGCTTAGCTTTAGCTTAGCTTTAGCTTAGCTTTAGCTTAGCTTAGCTTGAGCTTAGCTTTAGCTTAGCTTTAGCTTAGCTTTATATTATATGTAGCTTAGCTGTAGCTTAGCTGTAGCTTAGCTTTAGCTTAGCTTAAGCTTAGCTTGAGCTTAGCTTGAGCTTAGCTTTAGCTTAGCTTTAGCTAAGTTTTAGCTTAGCTTTAGCTTAGCTTGAGCTTAACTTTAGTTTAGCTTTAGCTTTAGCTTAGCTTTAGCTTAGCTTTAGCTTAGCTTGAGCTTAGCTTTAGCTTAGGTTTAGTTTAGCTTAGTTTGAGCTTAGCTTAAGCTTAGCTTTAGCTTAGCTGTAGCTTAGATGTAGCTTAGCTTTAGCTTAGCTTAAGCTTAGCTTGAGCTTAGCTTCACCTTAGCTTTACTGTTACTACTAAAACTGCTTTCCTAGGGGCTCCAACTCCTAGGTAGGGTCGCACTGGGATAATTTTATATATTTGTATATACAAATATAGAACAGATGATGGACATATTCAGCTTCATCAGTGTCTCCGTATTTTGAAGGCCTGGTGGCTGGTGCCGCCCGACCCTGAAGGGGAGCCCGAGGAGTGTGGGAGGCAAGGAACCGAAGGGGAAAACTTCTCCCAGGAAGGGGTGCTCCCCCACGAGGGGGTGTTGACCCCCGGGACCCGCCTAGGGACCCCCGGGACCCCCCTTGGGACCCCCCCCCCTGCCCCCCCCAGGCCCCCTCCCCCCTGGCGGGGAAGTGATCAAAGGGAAGGGGCTTCCCTTCGGCTCGATTGCGACGTTTGCTCGATTTGTGCTTGGCTGGGATGTTCAACGAGGATGGCCCACGGACATGGACAGGGGGGAGCGGTGGCGGCGACAACGACGACGACGATGACGAGGAGGACGACTCAAACGGAAAAGCTTTTCACACACGCCGACAGTTTTTTATTCACATTTACATATACATACATACATACATACATACATACACACACATATATATATGAATGTTTGTTGCTTGTTGTTTCGTGCTCTCTTTCTTTCTCTTTATATTATCATAGATCTTATGACATGTGTGTATATATGTATATATATATGCATAGAGGTGTCCTAACTCATTGTTTTCTTCTGTGTCCTCTTCTGATCGGCTGCGACAGACCCTGGACTCTGCCCGTGTGCGGCACTCTCGCATCGCTCCGCCGCCCAGACCTCCATCGTCTTGAAGAACACGATGGGCGTTTTTCGGTATTTTGGTCTCCCCGGGCCCTTTTCGATGCCGAGTGGTCCAAACAGCGATTCAGGACGAGACACCATAGGTCTGGGTCCCGCGTTCAACAAGACGCCATCGGAGGTTTGGAGATGCAAACCGCTGGCCTCCCCTCTCCCTCGTCGTCGTCGTCGTCGTCGTCGGAGTACTCGCAGTACTCGCAGGTCCTCGTCGAGGGAGGTCTTCAGAGAACTCTGGCCCCCTGAGGCTTCCGGCGAGGCCTCCGTTTGCCCCAGACGGGCCGATGACGTCCAAAAGACTCGATCCTCGAACCTCCTTCTCCTCCTCCTCCTCCTCCTTCTCCTCTTCCTCCTCTTCTTCCTCTTCCTTCTCTTTTTCCTCGTCCTCCTACTTTTTCTCCTCCTCCTCCTCCTCCTCCTCCTCCCTCCTCCGTACCAAGTATGGCGCAAGCGGACTTTGCTGCATTGCTTGGGTTCTGTTTTGATGTTATTGCCGCCATGCTTTCTCTTGTCAAGCTTCCCCCTCAGCAATTCTACTTCCTCCTCCTCCTCCTCCTCCTCCTCCTTCTCCTCCTCTCCCCCCCCCCTTGCCGCGTGAGCCAGCTGGCTTTCCGCGACGCCCAGGAGGCCTGCACAAAGGCTGGCGCGCCGCCGCCGCGCACTTCAGGCAGCAGGGCGCCGTGGCGCCCCCTCTCGCGTGCCCTTCGTGGGCCGCGCCGCCCGTCGGACGACCCTCGGCGCCCCCCGGCGGCGCGCGCAGAGGGGAGTGGCGCGAGGGGTGGGCGCCTCTGCCGGGGTCTTCTCGAAAGGCAGGGGCCCTCTCAGAGGGCCCCACGCGACGCCTCTGGGCGGCCTCCGCAGAGTGCCGGATGGCGCCTCGAGAGCTCCCTGCCCCTCGTTGCAGAAGTCCCCACCTGCCCTTCCGAGACGAGGGCCGCCCCCCTCGCGACCACCCCCTTGCACGTGCCGCCCACGGTCGCTCGCTCACTCCGCCCCCGCCCCCGCGAAAGACAGCGGCTCCCCGTTCAGCTTGCGCAGAACCTCCCCGGCCCCGACGAGACCGCCGGCGACGGCGCCCCAGCGCAGAACATAACTCTGAACCCGCATCCCACGCAGGACCCCGCCGCTCGGCCGTTCCGTGTGCCCTTGCCAGGAGGACGTGGATGGGGCGGAGGCGGAGGCGGAGGCGAAGGCGGAGGCGGAGGAGGAGGCTGAGGAGGAGGAGGAGGAGGAGGAGGAGGAGGAGGAGGGGGACAAGGAGCAGGAGGAGGAGGGGGACGGAGAGGATAATGAGAAAGGAAGGGGATGATGATGCTGCTGCTGCTGCTGCTGCTGATGATGATGATGATGATGATGATGATGATGATGATGATGACTCTGATGATGATGCTGATGATGATGATGATGTTGGTGGTGGTGGTGATGATGATGTTGATGATGCTGCTGCTGCTGATGATGATGGTGGTGGTGGTGATGATGCTGATGCTGATGCTGATGCTGATGCTGATGATGATGATGATGATGCTGCTGCTGATGATGATGATGATGATGATGCTGATGCTGATGATGATGATGAGGAGGAGGAGGAGGAGCACGAGCAAGAGCAGGAACAGGAATAGGATTGGGAATACGATGATGCTGATGATGAGGATGCTGATGTGATGCTGCTGCTGCTGATGATGATGATGATGATGATGAGGATGATGAGTCTGACCACGATGATGATGATGGTGGTGGTGGTGATGATGCTGATGACTATGATGATGCTGCAGATTATGATGCTGATGTTAATGATGCTGCTGTTGCTGCTGCTGATGATGATGATGATGATGACGATGTTTATGATGCTGACGATGGTGGTGGGGGTGATGATGACGATGACGATGGGCGATGATGATAATAATGCCGATGCCGATGTCGATGCCGATTTCGATGATGATGATGATGATGATGATGATGATGATGATGATGATGACGATGAAACCTATGATGATGAGGAGGAGGACGAGGAGGAGGAGGATGAGGGTGACTATGGTGACGAAGACGAATCCGATGATGAAGATGCGGATGAGGATGAGGATGAGGATGAGGATGATGATGATGATGATGATGATGATGATGATGATGATGATGATGATGATGATGTGTTTGATGATGATTCTTATAAGGATCATGATCATGGTGCTGATGATTTATGCACTTGAAGAATCATTTCGGTAGAAACGGTTCCAGAAACGGTTCCGCGCGCTCTTGATACCACATTGCCCGCCTGCACGGCCAGCTTCCACCTTTAGAACGGTGCTTTTCCACCCGTTGGAGAAACGTAGATACGAGGCCCCATTGCAGAGCTCCAGAATGTCCAACCTGTGTTGCGACACAAGCAATACCTGGGACTGGGTCCAAGCCAACCGCTGCACGATCGAGCTCCAAGCCGTAACGTTGACAGTCTCGACAATCAGCTTACCACTGGGGTCGCTGGCATGGCTGGCCGAGGGGCTCATGGGGCCTGTCGAGACCTTCGGCAGAATGCGCGGGTGCTTGGCGGCACCACTGTGCAAAAAACTGGCAGTCCCCTGGCCTGGAGGCGACGACTCAGGTGCAGTGTTCGAAGCGCCAGAGCCTAGTCCAGGTGCAAACATGGCACTGCCACCTGCAACAGAGGGCTGACTGCCAGGCGGGTGAGGCTGCAACAAAGAGGCAGAGGGATCAGCAGCTGACGGGTCTGGGGCAACTGTGCGGGTGCCCCCAACGCCTACTCCAAGACCCGACGAAGGACTCCCAGGGGCAATTGCGCTGCTGCCGTCAACGCCTGATCCACTACTTCTGGATGTCTGTGCCCACGATATGCCGACAGCCGTTGCTGAAGTTCACTGGTGCAAGCTCTCGTCCGCAGAGGAGGAGGAGCAGGAGGAGGAGGAGGAGGAGGAGGAGGAGGAGGCCTTCGCGTCTTTCCCCCTCGCGCCACGCCATCCCCCCCCCCGTAGGACGCCGCGGGTAAGTCGGGTTGCGCGTGCTGATGGCCCCCCAGCCGGAGCCCCGCGCCTCCGCCTCTGCTCGTTGTTTCTGCCGCTTCTGCTGCTCCTCCTTCTCCTGCTGCTCTTGCTCTTGCTCCTGCTCCTGCTGCTGCTGCTGCTGCTGCTCCTCCTCCTCTTTCGCTTTCTCTTTCTCCTCCTCCTCCTCCTCCTCCCCCTCCTGAGGTCCTCCTCCTCGTCCTTCCTGTCCTCCTGCTCCCCCCGCTCCTCAAGGTACACCAATGCGCACATCTGCAACTTCTCCTCCTCCTCCTCCTCCTCCTCCTCCTCCTCCTCCTCCTCCTCTCCCCCTCGTAGTCCTTCTCCCACTCCCATCTCCTTGGTCTCCTCCTCGTCCTGAGTTCCCCCCCCCCCCCCCCCGACAACCCTCATCTCCTCCTCCCCCCTCCCCCTCCCCCTTGACCTCCTTCTCCACCTCCTCCCCATCCTTCTCCTCCTCCTCCTCCTCCTCCTCCTCCTCCCATTCCTCCTTCCCGTTCTTCCCTCCTCATGACTCCTCTCGCGCACAGCGGGCCCTGAGCCTCCTCCCTCCTGTCTGCTCACTCTGCACGTGCTGAGCAAGACTGGCGATAGCAAGGACTAGCCGCCCTTCTGCCTCTCGTGCGCCTGTCTGCAGCCAGATCTGCATGCCCGACCAGACCACTGGCGCCCCAGACATGCTTGGGCTCAGGCGGGCTCAGGACCAGGATCAACTGTTCCAGAGCGTTCCAGGTAGATTCCAGAGCCTTCCAGAGCGCTCTGGAAAGGCCGCGGCGCTTGATACATCCTCCAGAACCGCCAGATTTCAGAGATCTCCGATGTGTCCCGGTCCGACCGTGTCCTGGCCCTGGCTTCGTCTCATGGGCGGCTGCCTCTCTTGAGCCTCTGGCCCTCCAGAGAGCACCCCCGGGCATCCGATGTCGTGTTTTTCCCGACCATCCTGTGGTGTTGGGTCCTCGTTTTGAAGAGACAGCGCCCCGTGTCTCCTCCTTCCGCCTCCCCCTCCTTTCTCCTATCCGTGCCTCTGCCCTCCGCACCAGTCAGAAATTTCGGCGCACCACTCACACGTTTCGTGGCCCCATAGGGAGCTCTACCGAAGGTCCCAGTGGCTGTGCCCACATGCGTCCCGCGCCACCCAGTACGGCGTTTCGTGGCCCCATAGGGAGTTCCACCGAAGGCCCCAGTGGCTGTGCCCACATGCGTCCCTGGCCATCCAGTACGGGGTTTCGGGGCCCCATAGGGAGCTCCACTCCACCGAAGGCCCCAGTGGCTGTGCCCACATGCGTCCCGCGCCACCCAGTACGGGGTTTCGTGGCCCCATAGGGAGCTCCATTCCACCGAAGGCCCCAGTGGCTGTGCCCACATGCGTCGCGCGCCACCCAGTACGGCGTGTCGTGGCTCCATAGGGAGCTGAACCGAAGGCCCTAGTGGCTGTGCCCACATGCGTCTTTGGCCACCCAGTACGGCGCTTCGTGGCCCCATGGGGAGCTCCACCGAAGGCCCCAGTGGCTGCGCCCACATGTGTCCGCGTCACCCATTACAGCGTTTCGTGGCCTAATAGGGAGCTCCACCGAAGGCCCCAGTGGCTGTGCCCACATGTGTCCCGTGCCACCCAGTACGGCACTTCGTGGCCCCATAGGGAGCTCCATTCCACCGAAGGCCCCAGTGGCTGTGCCCACATGCGTCGCGCGCCACCCAGTACGGCGTTTCGTGGCATAGGGAGCTGAACCGAAGGCCCCAGTGGCTGTGCCCACATGCGTCCCGCGAAAGCCAGTACGGCGCTTCGTGGCCCCATAGGGAGCTCCATTCCAGCGAAGGCCCCAGTGGCTGTGCCCATTACAGCGAAGGCCGCATTACAGCGAAGGCCCCATTACAGCGTTTCGTGGCCCCATAGGGAGCTCCACCTAAGGCCTCAGCGGCTGTGATCATATGCGTCTCCCCCCGCCCGTTTCGGCACACCCCTCACGCGTTTCGTGGCCCCATAGGGAGCTCCACAGAAGGCCCAATTGGCGACGCTGGCATGCGTCCCCCCTCCCACTCTGGCATACCGCTCACGCGTTTCGTGGCCCGATAGGGAGCTCCACCTAAGGCCCCAGTGGCAGGGTTCGCATGGCGGCCCCGCTCCATCGGCACACCCCTCACACGTTTCGTGGCCCCGTCTGGAGCGCCACCGAAGGCCCCAATGGCAGCGCCCGCATGCGTCCCCGCCCCATGTCGGCACGCCCTTTACACGCTTCTTGGCCCCATGAGGAGGTCCATCGAAGGCGATACCCTCAACGGCGATACTCACAACCGCATATGGTTGGGTCATTCGTTCGCCATGAACATTTTTCAGTATGCGGCCCCCAGAAATCCCAACCCTTCCTCATCGGGGCCGTTTTCTGACGGCCTTGGGGCCCGGCGAGGGCCCCTGGAGGCTGAGTGTCGAGAAGCATGCCCGCCCCGATCTCTCAATGTTTTGGGGGTCTGGGCCCCGCCGCCCCGCGAGGGAGGGAGCGCAGCCGCCCGAAGCCGGCGGGCGCGAGGCCCGTGCGCACACAGGGCAAGGGCTGTGCCGAGAGCCACGGGGACCCTCCACGGCACCACCAGGCCCGAGCGTCGAGGGCGCGCCAGAGGTCCGGGTGCGCCCATGGGGCCAGCAGATACACGCCACCACCTGCCTCGCCCTCTTCCGCCCTCGCGGGTTGGAGGGAGGGACGGGGGGGAGGGTTTCGGTTCGAGGATTTTGGGCGCTTTCGCCGGTTCTCGGCGGATTTCCAGCCTCGGAATGCCTTCCAGCGGCTGCGACTCGCCGAGCGCGTTCCAGGGGTGCCCAGATCGTCCCGAACGGCCGTTGCAGAGCGGAGTTATGACCCGAAAACCAGGTGGGAGGAGGAGGAGGAGGACGAGGAAGAGAAGGAGGAGGAGGATGATGATGAGGAGGAGGAGTGGGATGATGATGATGATGATGATGATGATGATGATGATGATGATGATGATGATGATGATGATGATGATGATGATGATGATGATGATGATGATGATGATGATGATGATGATGATGATGATGATGATGATGGGGGTGGTGATGGTGGTGGTTAGTGTGTTGTCATGTTGTCTGCCTCCCGGGAACGAGCGGAAGCTGCGCAAGCTCTTCAACCGCAGCCTGCATGGCCTGACCCCAAGGTCCGGCACGCACAGGAGGGGCCGAGGGGGGCAGCGGGCAGGACGCAGGGCGACTTCCCTGTAGCTCGAGCTATCGCAGCTCCCGTAGCAGAGGAATTTCAGGCATCTCGATACTTGAGACTAGAACGCCTGATCATGTCCGATCGAATGTTGTTGTTGTTGTTGTTGTTGTTGTTGATTTCTGTTGTTGATTTCTGTTGTTGATGATGAGGATGATGATGAAGATGATGACGATGATACTGATGAAGACGATGACAACGGCGACGACGAAGACGACGACGATGATGATGGTGATGACGATAATGATGATGCTGCTGATGATGATGATGATGATGATGATGATGATGATGATGGTGCGGCTGCTGCGGCTGCTGCTGATGATGATGATGCTGATGATGATGGTGGTGCTGCTGATGATGCTGCTGCTGATGATGATGGTGATGAACAGCATGTGGATGATGATGATGAAGATGATGATGCTGATGGTGGGGATGATGATGCTGCTGATGACGACGACTACGACGATGATGATGATGCTGATGATGATGAAGATGATAATGATTATGCTGATAATGTTGATGCTGATGATGGGGATGATGATTCGGCTGCTGATGATGATTTTGATGATGCTGCTGCTGCTGCTGATGATGACGATAATGATGATGAGGATGTGGATGAGGATGATGATGCTGATGATGATGATGATGATGATGCAGGTGATCGTGCTGGTGATGCCGATGATGCTCATGATAATATGGTTAATCATGAGGATCATGATTATGCTGCGGCTGATGATGAAGATGATGAATAATATGATGCTGACTATGAAGAAAATAAGACTACTATGATGATTATGATGATGCTGCAGATGACGATGCTGATGATGAGCAGGATGATGATGATGCTGATGATAATGGCAAGGATGTTGCTGCTGATGATGATGCGTCTGCTGATGATGATGCTGATGACGATGATGATAATGAAGGTGATGATGCTGATGCTGATGATGTTGATGATAATAGCACCCTTTGTGCTGCTGATGATGATGGTCATGATAGTGTTTTTTTTGCTGCTGATGTTGATGATGACGATGATGGTGATGCTGCTGAAAACGATGATTATGCTGCTGCTGATGATGCTGAAGATGCTGATGATGACTATGATGACGACGATGTTGTTGATGATGGTGATGATGATGGTGATACGGATGTTGATGATGATACTGCTGCTGCTGCTGATGATGATGATGATGATGATGATTATGATGAAACGTAGGAAGAATATGGTGCTGATGTTGCTGCTGCTGGTGATGATTGATGCTGTTGATGATGCTGATGATGTTGGTGATGATGCTGCTGCTAAGGATGATGATGATGACGATGATGGTGGTGGTGATGATGACGACGATGATGATGGTTATGATGATGATGCTGATGCTGATACTGACGATGATGATGATGATGATGATGCCGATGACGATGAGGATAATGATGCTGATGCTGTCGTTGATGCTGCTGCTGCTGATGATTCTGATACTGCTGCTGATGATGAGGATGTGGTTGATGATGCGGCTGATTTTGATGATGATGATGATGCTAATGATCATGGCGACGACGATGATGATGATGTTGATGATGATGATGATGATGATGATGAGGATGCTGATGATGATGATGACGATGATGATGCTGCTGATGATGATGATGCTGATGATGATGATGCTGATGATGATGATGATGCTGTTGATGACGACGATGATGATGATGATGATGATGATGATGATCATGATGATGATGATGATGATGATGATGATGATGATGATGATCATGCCGATGATGATG